AAGAAAAGCGGGGAGGGAGTGGGGAGCAGGGATATGCCTTGGGACCCCTTTGCCTTCTTCTCAGCCCCAGGCTGTTTCTTGAGTCTCCCTGGTCTTATGGGGAGTAGTATAGTACATGGGGTGGGTAAGAGACACAGAAGGGGGACAGAGAGCAGGCATCCTGAGAGGGATGGGGAAAGAGCAAGCGTCTCCATTTACAGTCCACAGGACACTTTCACATGGCTGACCGGTTCCAGTCTCACAACCACTCTGGGCGGTGTTGATTGTCCCATGAAACTGACTGCAAACCGGGGTTCAGAGAGAGGAAGCAGTATGCCCAAGGTCATAGACACCATGACTGGCAGAGCCAGGGTGTCCCCCCAGGTCCTCTGATCTTCACCCAGTGCCCCGTCCCACTTAGTCACGTGTCCCTGTTGGGAGCAGCCAGGTTCATCTTCCTAAAGCACTGCCTCCGTCAATTCACTTCCTTGCTCTCCACCAAAAAAAAAAAAAAATCTTTAGTGACATCAGTGCTTCCGAGATCAAGTACAAATTTCTCAGTTCAGCATTCCAGGTCTCCATGACTCACCAAACTGTCCAGAAGATAAGAAGGCAGAGCTAGAAGATATCATAGCAACCCTAGAGTCCAGCCCTCTTTGTTCAAGAACGGGAAACTGAGGCCCAGAGAGGGGAGGGTTTTCCCAAACATCCCAGAGCAAGTCAAGGTCAGGAAGCTGGAAGCCAGTTTGCTTATCGCAGTGTACTCTCTGTTCATCCTTGGGACTCCTCTAGCAGCTACCCACCTGAGACAGGCAGATATGCTTGCTGGACTAGAATTAGCTTAGCTGGGAGTAACAGAAAAAAACAAAATAACAGTGTTCCAATTCAGACAGAAGCTTCTTTCTCTTTCAATTTTCCAGACACATGGAAATAGTCTATCCAAGGCAGGAATGACATTTCATGGTGCCATGGACCCAGGTCTTATCCCTCTTCTGCTCTGCCAAGGGTGGCTTCCATTCCCCCATCACCTCGTGGTCCTATATGGCTCCTGAATTGCAGCCATTATGTATGCATTACTGCCAGCAGAAAACAGAGCCAAAACAGCTCATGTTCTCTCCCTCTAAGAACACTTCCCAGAAGTTGCACCCTCCACTTCCACTTCTATCCCTTTCTCACATGGCCACAACTAACTGCAAAGAACACCAAGAAATTAGTCTTTTTTCCTGGTAGCCATGTGTCCAACTAAAAAGCAGAGTTCTATCTACGGAGGGAAAAGAGGAGGAACAGAGATTCAGGAGCCACCAACAGTGTCGTTTTCACCTCTGCCATCCGCCTCCCCACCGTCCAGGTACCAGGCACACTGCTAGGCACATTTAGGCCAACCCAGGCCTAGCTCTGTTCTTTCCACTCCTGCCCAAACCATTACAGAGGACTGGCTATTGCTCACACGGGGCTAAGTCCGCTTGGCAGGGAGACACTTTAATAAATCAATACATAAGCTGCTCATGGACTAGGCCTGAGCAAATGGATTTTTTCCCCAAAAAGAAAGAGTTTTAAAAAGGTTAAAATGGCCAAAAATATGGCTTTCCTGGTGGCTGAGTGGTAAAGAATCCATCTGCCAATGCAGGAGACACAAGTTCGATCCCTGGTCCAGGAAGATTCCACCTGCCTAGGAAGCTCCTACACTGAGAAAAGCCATCCCATTCCAAGCAGAGAACAGCATGCACAACGGCCCAGGGCAGAAGGAATGTGATGTGAAGCTTCAGAGCTGCACAACTGTCGGGGGAGGGTGGTAGGGTGGGGGAGCTGGGAGAGGGGGTGATGGGGGAGGTGTGCGTGGGGAGGTGCTAAGGCGGGTGAAGGCTGAGCTGGCCCAGGCTGTGGGCCAAGGCAGGGGGTGTTGAGGGTTTTATCCTGGGGGTCAAACATCCTGGGGGTTAAGTAGCAGAGTAACTGAATCTGATTTGCATTTTCTTTTGATTTGCATTTTTTAAGTGTACTCTGCAGACACAGAAGACAAACTTAAAGATTACCAAATGGGAAAGGGGGTGGGGAGCGGAGGCAGGAATAAATCAGGAGTTTGGGATTAACAAATACACACAACTGTATGTAAAATAGATACAACAGTCCCCACTGTATGCTACGTGTGTGCCAAGTTGCTTCAGTCCTGTCCAACTCTTAGCAACCCCATATGGACTGTAGCCCGCCAGGCTCCTCTGTCCCTGGGATTCTCCAGGCAAGAACACTGGAGTGGGTTGCCATTTCCTCCTCCAGGGGCTCTTCCTGGGGATTCAACCCTCCTCTCTTAAGTCTCCTACACTACTGACAGGCAGCTTCTTTACCACCTGGGAAGCCCACTATACAGTACTGGGAACTATTGCTCAGTGAGAAAGAATCCACCCGCCAAAGCAGGAGATACAGGTTCGATCCCTGGTCTGGGAAGATCCCGTGAAGAAGGAAATGGCAACCCACTTCAGTATTCTTGCCTGGAGAATCCCCATGGACAGAGGACCCTGGTGGGCTACAGTCCATGGGGTCACAAAGAGTCAGACACAACTTAGTGACTGAACGACAACAATAACCTATAATGGAAAAGAATCTAGAAAAGAATATATATGTGTGTATATGTGAGTATATAGATAGGTAAACTGAATCACGTTGCTGTACCCCAGAAACTAACACAACATTGTCAGTCAACTATACGTTAAAAGAAAAGCTGCACCCTGGCAAGGGGCCCAAGGGAATCTTCTGTGACACAGGCAATGTTCTCCATTACAGTACGAATGTCAAAAGAAACCCATTGAACACTGTCTGCATTTTATTGCATTTAGTGTTAACCTCACAAAGCGGCCTGTAATTGGCCAAGCATGGCTCCCTCCACCTTTTTGGCCCCAAATAAGAGGTGCTATTAGGGGCAGGCTACCAGAACCACGGGGTTGGAGCTGGAAAAACAGCTCCTGAAAGAAGGGGAGTGGGGTTCTAATACCTGCCTCCCTGGATCCTCAGAGGCTTGAAATGTGATGAAGCACAAGATCTACCACCAGGCAGGTATGAAGGAAATGTGACCGTCCATCCTTCAGCAGTGTCTCATCTAATGAGAACTGGAGGACCTGGCTCTTTTACGAGATTAAATACAGAAAGCCAGAGGAGATGGTGTCTTAAGATACACAATAACCAGGAAAGGAAGGAGTGGGAGAGGGAAACTGAATTCTCCCTGGAGCTTTCTTTCATAACCAAACATGGAGGAAGTGGAGGGAGGGATGGAAACTCCAGGAGAGCTTAGATGGGACCTTTGATGGCTGCCCACCCACCCCCCACCGCCACCATGTGCCCACCGCCCCAGGGCCTGATAAAACAGGGGGTTGGCTTCCACCTGTGGGGCACAGTTGAAAATGCTGACTTGGGGCCTCAATGGGGGAGAGATCTCTCTCACTGGGTGCTTGCTGAGTCTGTTCAGGTCCCAATACCATCTTCTGGGCTCCCAGTAAGACAGCCAGTCACATATGAACAGAGGGCAGATGGCTGATATTGTCTTATGAACTTTCTCTTTCATTTGTATATATATAAACGTCTGCAGGTCTTGATAAAAATGAAGTTTGTGCTGAGAGCTGCTGCCACAGTAGTTAAGAGTCGCTGCTCCGGATAATGGTGCTCTTAAGTCTTATCATCAAAGTGAAGTCCTCTCGTGTGACAGAGGACGGAACCCTGGCCCTGGTCCAGGCAGAGTGCCTCAGCTGGGTCTGGAAGCAGCTCCATTGAGGTGGGCAGCAGCAAGGGAGGTAGTGAGACAGCCCCCACCTGTTTGTTCTCCTCTGGTGTTTGGGAAAGTCTGAAAATGGCCCCCATCTCAGCCGTGCTAAGTAAGGACTCACTTCATCCAGGAGCACTGAAGGGCCAGCGAATCTGCCCAGAAATCCAGGAGTGGTGGTAGTGGTTACGGAGCCAAGTACCATAGACGCCCTGCTCCTGCCCTGAACCCTGGAGACCATGTTCCTACGAGATAAGCACAACCCCTATACACACTCCACAGAACCCACCCACACCCATATACACACATCACACCCTCCACGTGCAAACAGAACACACACACCCTTTACATACTCCACTGTATATCACATAAACACTGCATGTAAATGGGTGGGAAAGAGTGGCGAGGAGCCGTGGGGGGTGGTTGTGACTGAGTGGAGCCGGGAAGGGGGCATCAGTCCATGCCAAGTCCCTATCCCGTCTTGGCTTCTAGAAACTGTGGGTGTGACACACCCAGCTGCTGAGAATGGACTCTAGATCTCTGCAGGAACTTCCTGCATCCCTAGGGATTCCTTGTCCCCAGGTGCTAAGGAATGAAGATGGAACAAAGGCATCTCTGGCCACCAAGAAAACGCCCATGTGCCTGGTTGAGGAGTACAGGCCTGAGAACTGGATGGTCCAGGGTTCGAATACCTGATTTTTAATTAGGCCAATTACTTGGTCTCTCTGGGCCTGATCCTGATGCCAATCACCTGTGAGGTCTACAGAAAGGAAACCCTCCTGATCTTCCCACCCAAAACCTGCTCTGCTCCTCAACAGGGTTTGCTACACAGATACAAGTCAAGTGGGGTATTTGAGACCAAGGCATCAATGAGTTTTTCAGCAAAAATAGTCTCTCTGGAAACAGCCTGGAGGAGGCCAGACTCTCCTCCACATGGCTCCCCAACCCAGCTTCTGATCCCAGAGAGAGGCCTCCTGACAACCTCTCTCCCCACCTCACAAGGGCTGCACACAGCATAGCGGGTTGGCAGAGCCAACTGAAGCTTTATTCTGAAAAAAGATACTCGAATTGGATTTATTCTGAAAAAGACGCTTACGTTGGCTTTTAGTTGGGGTCATGGGCAAAAGGGGCAGCCTCAGGCAGTCGACTCCCCCCAGATGTGGGCAGAGGACAGGGGCGAAACCTCAGGTCTCCCATGCACATGCTCCCGCGCACAGCTCTATCTGCAGGAGCCAGTGAGCGGGGGAAGGCTGGGAGGGACCGCAGGAGCCTTTCACTTGGACAGGACATCAGAGGACTCAGACACCAGCTTCCCATCGCGGGTCTCAATCTTCTTCACAACCACAGCCTTGGAACTGGTGCGGCTGAAGGAGCTGGGGCCCCCGCCAGAGCCCAGGCTCAGGCTGTAGTTGAAGCCAGGGGTCCCGTAGGACGAGGTCAGTCCACCTGGTCGGGAAGAGACAGCCACGTGAATATGCGAGGCTATGCTCCCATCAGGTGCTATTCCCCTTATCTCCCTGACACTCCAGAAGTGGTCCCCAGGGTCCCTGGTTCACTTCTCCAAGATGATTGGGCGAAAACCAGGAGCAGGGTGGGACAAGGCTTTGCTATTAGCTATATGACCTTGGAGAGATGTTAGAGACTTGGGTTCGAGTCCTGGGTCAGGAAAATCCCCTGGAGGAGGGCATAGCAACCCACTGCAGTATTCTTGCCTGGAGAATCCCATGGACAGAGAAGCCTGGTGGGCTACAGTCCATAGGGTCGCAAAGACACAGACACGACTGAGTGACCGAGTACACATGCACGCATGCGTGTGACCTTGGACAGGACATTTAACTGGGCCCCAGCTTCCTCAGCTGTACCAGAGGGAACCATATAGGAGCTGCCCTCCTGCCCTGGCCCCCAAGACGAGGACACTCACCTGCGTAGCCACTGGTGGTCTTGGTGTGGATACTCATGTTCTGCAGCCCAGACTCCAGCCTGTACCCAGAGGACACATGGAATATCAGGACCAACCCTTGGCCCTGAGGACCCAGGTCCCATCTCCCGAACTCCAGAGATGGTAAACCAGGGGTGGTCAGAGAACCCCCACACTTACCGGCTCTCCTCGCCCTCCAGCAGCTTCCTGTAAGTGGCAATTTCCACATCCAGGGCCAGCTTGACATTCATGAGCTCCTGGTACTCGCGCAGCTGCCGTGCCATGTCCTGCTTGGCATTCCTCAGAGCGGCCTCCAGCTCAGCCAGCTTGGCCTGAGCATCCTTAACAGCCATCTCACCACGCTGCTCAGCATCAGCAATGGCAGCCTCCAGGGAAGCCCTCTGTGGGGGGAGCAGACAGGTAAGCAGGTAAAGCAGAGTCTGGTTGCTTCCTCTCCTTCTCCCCCTGCACCCACTCTCCCTTTCCCCTCCTTTAGGGACCCCCTCTCCATGACCTGGACTAACCAACTCCACCCGCCTTATTCCAGAAAAATGTTAGAGGGGATTTTCCTCATGGTCCAGTGGTTAAAAATCTGCCTTGCAATGCAGGGGATCGATACCTGATCAGGGAACTAAGATCCTACATGTCAGCTACCTACTCTCAGCCCACGAGACACAGAGAGTGCACGTGCCACAACTAAGACTCAAAGCAGCAGAATAAATAAAATTTCTTTTAAAAAAAGGAAGAAAATGTTACTGGTGGGTGAGATTCAGGAAGCGAAATGGGGGAATATGAGCAGCTTCCAGATCCCTCCTGCACACACTTCTCACCTGGGATGCTGTACAATATTATCCCCACTCCCAACAGGACTAGATCTCTGCTTTCTAAACCCCTTAAGGCATCTGATACATAAGCACCCTGATTTATAAGACAGATAAATCAAGCTTGGGGAACCCATCCTGGACCTCCAACCTACCTGCCCAGCCCTCTGTGACCCCTGTTTTGACCCCTCAGCCTCCCAGAATAGTCTGGACTGTAGCTACCCCTCCAACTCCCAGGATCCTTTCCCCAACCCCCAGACACCTCACTCCTTTCTGTACTATCTCCTCCCACCCAGAGGTGTCCCAGGACCCTCTCCCATCCCCAGCCCAGCCCATACCTGGCCTTTGAGGCCCTCGATCTCTGCCTGGAGACGGCTGATGTTCCGGTTCATCTCAGAAATCTCCGTCTTCGTGCGACGGAGGTCATCCCCGTGCTTCCCAGCCAGTGTCTGCAGCTCCTCATACTGCAGAGGTGAGACGAGGAGTGAGGTTGAGAGGGGACTCCTGGTCCCTCCGAGGAGAGAGTACCCTCAGCCAAGTCACAGAGCCCAGGTCATCTCACGCCCACCGGGCTCCGTACCTCTGAGCCTGGAACATCCCATCCTTGTCCCCCGGCACGACTCGGCAGCCCCGCTCCCAGCAGGCAGAGTTTGAAATCTCGCTTTTCCCCCAAGGAAGGACTAGCACCCAGCACTACCCTAAAGGGGAGCAGCAGCTTGTGACCCTGCTCCTTACCTTGATTTGGTACATGGTCTCGGCCTCAGCCCGGCTGCGGTTAGCGATCTCCTCATACTGGGCCTTGACCTCAGCGATGATGCCGTCTAGGTCCAGGTTGCGGTTGTTGTCCATGGACAGGACCACGGACGTGTCAGAAATCTGAGACTGCATCTCCCGGATCTCCTGTGGCAGGAAGGGGAGGAGGTGAGGCCCTGGCCTTGTACACAAGGAGTCCCCTTCTGTAGAAGGGTCTTCCACAGAGGACAAGACAGTTAGGGCGGGAGAGAAGGCAAAGTTCCTAAAGAGGGAAGATGGGTCAAAGACCTGGAACTTGGAGGGAAGCAAAGATGAAATGAGGCCAGGAGAAAAGGAAATCCGGCTTTGGGTGAGAGACCAGAGGGGCAGAGCCCTTCCACACTCTCAGCTACCAGTGTGGTGCCCCCCAGAGGGCTCCCATACGGCCCAAAGGATCTATCTAAACCCTTGGAACAGAGCAGGTCTGAGATAGCCGGATCACCACTTTGCATTATGTATGATGACCTTGGACAGTCTCTTTTAGTTCTCTGAGCCCATTTTCTCATCTGTGAAATGGGGTAATAAACCCTCCCTCATGCAGGGAGACAGAACATAAAGGACATCCATGCCAGGTTACTATTGGCAGTTGGAATTATTCTGGGTTGGGCCCTTGTCTGTTGGTGCACTGGCGGGGCTGAAAGGAGCCTCTGACAGGGCCAGGGAACTCCAGTCTCCAGCAACTAAGAACATACCTCTTCATACAGTTGCCTGTAGAAGTTGATCTCATCAGTCAGCCCTTCCAGGCGGGACTCCAGCTCTACCTTGTTCATGTAAGCTTCATCCACATCCTACGGGGTGGAGAAAGGGGAGCCGAAGCTGAGTGCCCACTCCTGACTCCAAGCCGGGGACACCCAGTGGCCTATACTTAGAACTTTCTAATTGCCTTCCCACCTCAATGATCCAGTCCTGTCTCTACCCCACCACACCAGTATTCCCAGCCCTTTTACCTCAGCTTCCTGCACATTCCACCTCCTCTCGCCTCTTCTCCCGCTCCCCCTCGTCCTGGAAGCCTTCTATAGCTGGACCTCCAGTTCTACTGCTCCATTTTCTTAACCATGTCCCAAGAGCCATGAGTGAAGTCGCTCAGTCGTGTCCGACTCTTTGCGACCCCATGGACTGTAGCCTACCAGGCTTCTCCATCCATGGGATTCTCCAGGCAAGAACACTGGAGTGGGTTGCCATTTCCTTCTCCAGGGGATCTTCCCGACACAGGGATCGAACCCGGGTCTCCTGCATTGCAGGCAGATGCTTTAACCTCTGAGCCACCCATAGTTCTGTCCAAATGCACCTAACTCTGTCCTTCTATGTTCAGTACCTAGGAGGCACCCAAATGTTGTCCCATTACTTAGAAACATTAAAGAACAGAAAGCCTCCAGCCTGAGTCTCTAAGCACCAGCCTTCTGTGTCTGGTGGGGGGAGGGGTGCTTCCTCACCTTCTTGATGATGACAAATTCATTCTCCATGTCTGTGCGCTTTTGGATTTCTTCCTCATACCTAATAAAGCAGAGACATAGAATCAGAGGATGAAAGGGAAAGGTGAGGTTGCCATGAGTCTTTTGAGGGGGGCAAGAATATCTAGAAAATTCAATTAATGGAAATGTAAAAAGATATGAGATGGTTGTTGGTCTGATCATTCTGCCCCAACCAGCTACTGTCTCCCCAGTCTTACCCCACACCATCCCCAGTCAGTGAGGAAGTCTAGAGCAGGCAGTGTCTCTCCAAATCCACAAATATATATTGGATTAGGCATATGAAGAGAGCTAGTAACAGTGACTGACATGAGACCTTTGACAGAACTTTCTGGAATGTGCAGGAAATCAGGGATAGGGAAGAAATGGGGCCAGGGCTGTTAATATACAACAGAGGCCTGTTGGCTACCTCTGTCTCCCATCTTAGATTTACTATGTAAACTCTAGAAGATAATTTGTTGTCCAAATCAAGACAGTTCTGCGATTGAAGAGGGAGGGGAAGTGCTATTAACAATGGACACTGTCCTGGGGTCACCCTAATTATATAGGACTGCACTGCCCAAAAAGCAGAGGGCCTTGGGTCTGAAACCTCTGGTCCCAAGGGGCCAGGCAGTGTGCGATGATTTCAGCTGGGGAGGATGGAGGCTCACTTGGTCTTGAAGTCCTCCACCAGCCCCTGCATGTTGCCAAGCTCCACTTCCAGCTTCAGCTTCTCCTGGGCCAGAGTTTCTAGCTGCCTACGAAGGTTGTTGATGTAGCTCTCAAACATGTTGTCTATGTTGCTCCGGGCAGTTTTCTGCTGCTGCAGGAGGTTCCATTTGGTCTCCAGAACCTTGTTCTGCTGCTCCAGGTGCCGCACCTGTATGATGGGGCAGAAAAGTCCACAGTCACATCAGGCCAGGGCTCAAAGTCTGGCACACAGCAAGCACTGTTTTCCCTTAATCCACTCCCCAAGCAGTTGGATCTCCAGAGCTCCATTAGTGCTGGGCTGCAGGGAGATAAGGGGGTACATGGTTGGAAGTTGATATCTAGGAATTATGCTGAAGTTATACTTTCAGGAAAAAAATAGGTACTATTGACTGAGATTGTATATTACACATCAGTAAAAGTAGCCAAGTTTTGATTAACACTTTTCATGATTTAAAGAAATATAGATGGTTCATATCAAACAATCATGATTATTCTTTGGAGTGGCTTTGAGAGACTCATAGATTACAGGGAAACTTCAGTCCTACAGTCTGGAAAGCACTGGCCAGAAGACCTAGGTTTTAGCCTAATGCTGCTACTGATCTTGAGTTGCTTCCCCTCTCTGAGCCCAGGTCTCCTCAACCCTGCAATGGCCTAGAAGATCTCAGGCAAACCCTATCCAAACCCCATCTCTGTGCCGAAGGCACTTTTAGCAGGATAAGAGCAAGCAACTAGGTAAATCTGTCTGCAAACTGAAGACCCTCCTCGCCACAGCCCTCTCTTTAAGTTCTCCAACATCCAACCCCACCCTACTCTATCCCGAATCCACAATCCTGTTTTCCAGTCCAAAACACAAAGGTCCTTTGGACCTTTCTTGGGTTTTGGAATTCGAGGTTTCTTGGGTTCGAGGAATCCAGGTTTTAGGATGAAATTAAGCCATGTTGGAAGAGAAATTTTTTTAATGAAAGAATAATAAACTGGTTCCAAGAAGATGAATGCTTTTTTTTTTAATTAACCCAAAGTTGGAACTACTTTTAAATTAGGAGGACTTGGAAGAGAAGTTTGTCTTAAGGGTTTGGTTCAGATCCAGCAAATCCATCTCTGTAAATCCCTTTCTTCCCAGCTCATTCTGTCCCAAAATTATAAAAAATAAGTAATTATAACATTTACCCTTATTAGACTGCCTAATGTAGGCCACGCACTGCTAAGCTCTTACATACATTATATGCTTGAATAGGCAAAACCTCTTGGATTTAGGGGATTAGGGAGCCCATTTTGTAGATGAGGAAATCAGATTTAGCAAGTTAGTCTATCAAAGGGAAGGGTAGAGCACTGGGGACCTTTGGCCTCTGCTTAACTACTCACTGGGAAGACCCCAGAGCTAGAAAAAGGCAGTCAAGAAGTCAAGCCAAGGGTCCTTAAGGCCAAGGAACCAGCAAGCCCTGCCCCAAAACAGGGGAGGACCGGTTTCCCAGGGGACTCCAATTCTTAAAGGCACCAATCTGCCCCAGGATTTCCCTCCTTCCGTTCCCACAATGCCTCCCAGGAGCCCGTCAGCAGAAAGGAACCCGTCCTCCAGCGCTGGGGGCCCTGGGGCCTTAAGGGAGCAACAACCCCTCCCAACCCCAGGCTGCAAAACCCGGCCTGGCGCCTTCCCTGGCAAAGTGGAGCCAGCTCATTGGGGCGGAGCGGAGGAGGGAAGAGGGAGCGGTGGAGGGGAGAGGGGCGTAGGCTGATAGGCGCCTTATCTGAAACCATAAATCCTGGGGTTTAAAAGGACGTGAAACGCGGGTAGGGTGTCCCACGCCCTCAGACTTTGAATCCTGCATGGGCTTTCCTGAAGCCAGTCCCTGGCGTCCCACCCCACCCCACTCCTACCCAACTCCACCCCGACACACCCCCCCCACCCCCACCCCCGAAACCCCAGGTGCTAAGTGCTCCCCAGGAGACTAGGAGCGGGTCTCCAGCACGCAGCCTCTGCCCCTCACCCCTCCGTGGGGGCGGGGCTCTGCCCCGCCCGGCCCCGCCCACAAGGTCAGCTCCCGGGGCCCTGGCCAAGTTATGACTCATCTTGATGCCCCCAACTCTCAGATCCCTGGGACGCCAAAGGCCTGGATCAATATTTGCCTGCTTGAATCAAGACTGCTGCTTCCTTCTCCTAGAATCCTATCAAATTCCTTTTTTTTTTTTAATTTTTTTTAAGCACAGGAGAACTCCTGGAAAGGCCCTTGGGGCCCGGATAGGGAGAAGGGTTATCCTGAGAGAGGAATTCCCCTCCCACCCGAAACTAAACACCTGGAACACTTCGAGGCTGAGAGCTTTACAGACTTGGGGTGAGATGGGCGAGTGAGGCAGGGGGCCCCCAAGATTTAGAGTCAGAAGCCTCTAAGATCCCTCCCTATCCCTTCCCCTGCCCAAACCTAAGTGCGCAGAGGGGCCAAGTCACTGGTTGGAAGGCAGAATGTTGCCAGAGTGGGTGGGGCCCAGCAGGACACCAGTGAGGGGCTGGAGATGTGCCCATGAAGGGTGGGGTGACCAAGAGAAAGGGCTGGGATCCTGGTCCAGCCCCAGGCACTGCCAGTCACGCAGAGGGGAACCCTCACCTTGTCGATGAAGGAGGCAAATTTGTTGTTGAGGGTCTTGATCTGCTCCTTCTCCTGGGTGCGGACGGCCTGGATGTTGGGGTCCACCTCCAGCTTGAGGGGGCTCAGCAGACTCTGGTTCACGGTGACAGCTGTGATGCCCCCCAAACCTGGGGCCCCACCGTAGCTCCCAGCCATACCCATGCCGGTGCCCAGGCCGCCCCGAAAGCTGCTGCCGCTGCCCACTCGGGAAAAGGCCGAGGAGCTGATGCGGGAGCCGGGCCCACTGGTGTAGGAGCGGCTGCTGAAGGACCTGGGGGCGGAGGTAGACACCTTGTAGGACTTCTGGGTCACCCTGATGGACATGATGGAGGCTGGAGAGGAGGCGAGGAGGCCGAAGCTGAGAAGAGTGGAGGAGTTGAGAAGCTGCTTCTCGGTGGGGTACAGCGCCCCGATGGCCTTTTATAAAACAGAGCCCAGCCCATGAGGAGGGGATTGGCCTTGTAGCTGAGTGGCTAGGCCCTGAGGGGGGCAGGGCCTAACCTGACACCTGCCACCTACAGGCCGGACTCAGGTGGGGGCAGCAGAGAGCTTCTCCCACCCCGGAGCCCACGCCTGCACCACCCTGGAGCCCAGGAAAAGGCAATTCTGTGAATGTAAAAGTGCAAGGACTCTCTGCCAGCCTCTACAAGCTCCCTGTAACAGAGCTTGCCCAGGGCTGCCCAGCCACTGCAGCCCCAAATCCTGGGTCTTATCTCCTTCCCTTCCGTGGGAAATAAATGCACAGACTGGGGAACAGGGCCAGCAAGGGACCCCTTTGAGTCTCCTCTGAGCAGCCGATACTCCAAAGACACCACCCTGTGTTCTTTCCTCCACATGTGTGATTACAAAGGTCTGCCCAGGCTGGACACTTGGGTTCCAAATCATTGAACCTGAGGTCAACCATTTGCCTGGTCTTTCCTCAGTTACTGCTATGCCCTCAGCCCCTGGTGCAGTGCCAGGAGGCACTGGGAAAATATTCATGGAATGAATGAATGAATGAACACACACTCTCTTAGCTATGGGGCTGAACGTGAAAGTTAAAGTGAGATCCAACACAGTGCTTTTCCAGGACACAATGCCGTGGTGTCTTTCTCTCCTCCCAAGATCACAGGATTCTTGGGACTGAAAGGCACAGAGAAGGATGAACAGGAGCTAAAGGGCAGGCTGGGGGGAGGTCAGGAGAGAAGGTGGCTGCATCAGGGGGCTTCATCTCATTGCTCATCACTGCTTGCAGGAGTCATTCCCATAGCCCCCAGTGGGTGAATCACAGGAAAGAGGCAAGACTGTGAGGTGGGGGTGGGGTGGGGAGCACCAACGGTGAGTCAACCGGCAGCTGCGTGGGCCCTCCTTCTCTTTCTCTTCCCCGGCCACCCCCCTGTCCCCCGCTGGCCATAGGAGAAGGAAAAGAATCCTTGCACCTGTCTCCCCAAACCCATTAAGAAAATGAGTCAGGAGAACAGGTTGGGGCACCGCATGCACCTGCAGAAGGCTGGAGAATGGGAAGTTGAATAAGGCACCCAGGGCCTGGGTGGGGCAGGCTGTGGGTGGAAAGCAAAAGTTTTGGGTCCCCAAGGCAGAGATTCCAGTAGCAATTACCTAATGGCTGGGGCTGGATTCTCTGATAGATCCTGCGGGGCATGAAATGGAGAGAAGTGGGTGGCTGTTCACTAGAAACCAACAGATTCCCTGGAGGAGAGGGACAGGCGGCCCATAGCCCACAGGCCCCAACCAAGGTGACTGCTACCATGCCTGTACCCAGGGCAGGTGAGCAGATGACTGTCCGTCCTTCTCCAGCAGGCATCCCGGGCACCCAGAGCACAGGCACAGAGACCCTTACAGAGGGACAGCGAGACCCAGAAACCCTCTCCCTGGGAGGCAGACAAATCCCAAAGGACAGACATGCAGATAAGCCACCTCAGAACACACATACCAGACCATGCACACATACACACAAAAGAATGTACTCTGAAGTCCCTTCCGGAAAGACAAACCCAGAGACTCTCAGAGGGGACACAATGACCACGTCCCTTTCTTCCCTTCCCTCTTTTCTCTTCCCACCCTCCCCAGGCCTGGCGTCCTGCCACACAGAACCAGGCGGTACCTGTTTGTACCAGGCCCTCTCTCAGCCCCTTTAAACAATGCTTAGTTTTCCAAGGAGTGATGTGAATGCAAGTTCCCCCCTCCCCAACAAACACCCACACCGAGCCAGAGCTGAGAGACTTCGCTTTCCTGAGACCAAAGGGAGGGATATGGGCCCGGTGCCAAACCAGGCACAGAGAAAGCGGAAGGAGAGAGGGAGGGGCTGGTCAGACAGGTATGGCAGCCCAGGGGAGGGAGGACCGGGCAGCTCCCTGCTTCTCCTCCCCCACACTGTGGTCCACACAGTGGACCTGGGCTCACTCAAAGGGGAGAGAACTTACCTAAAGTCCTGAGCACAGAACTGCAGCCCAGAGCCCTCCCCGAAATCTCAGCCCTCCCACCCCCAGCCCCAGCCACCGGGTTCCCTAGTTGCAGGAGTGCCTTTTGTTTAAGATGAAGACAAAGCGGGCTACAAGGACCCTGTGGTTTTTAGGCTGCAAGAAGGCCCAGATCTCACCCAGGGGAAGTTCCTCTTTGCTGGGGCAGCCCAGAACAATCCAGGGTGGAAAGTGCTTGCATCTTTCTTGTCAGCTCCCTATTGCCCAGAGCCCCAGCCAACCCCTCCCCCATGCCTGAAACCCAGCTTCAGGTGCAAGAGAAGAGGCCGGACCTGCCGGTTCCTGTGGCCCCTGCCTGGGATTCCGGCTTGGAAGCCATAGAGCAAAGCCCTGGTGGTTCAGACGGTAAAGAATCCGCCTGCAATGTGGAAGACCTGGGTTTGATCCCTGGGTCAGGAAGATCCCCTGGAGGAGGGAATGGCAACCCACTCCAGTCTTCTTGCCTGGAGATTTCCATGGATGGAGGAACCTGGTGGGCTACAGTCCATGGGGTCGTAAAGAGTCGGACACGACTGAGCAACTTTCACTTTACTTCACTTCCAGGACTAGGGCCAAGTTAGGGAACAGAAAATGGGACCAAGGTGGCCTGAGGGGACAACTTGTAAAGCTGTCTCTGGCCACTGAGGTCTGCACACTGCTTCCTACCCAACAAAAGAGAAAGTGTTTTTGGTGACTGCCCTACGCAGATCCAGATTCTACTCCAAACTGCCTTTCCTGGAAATCAAAAGAGGGTAGGAGGATATGCTCGCCCCCTCCACCCTGATGGTGATGGTGCAGGATGGCACCAAGGAGGTCCGGAGGCCTCGAGTCAAGGCTGAGGGCAGAGATGGGTGAGCGGGGTAGCTCTTATCATAAGTCACTCACAATCCTCCGAAAAGATGGTCTGAACACACTCTTCTCAGTGGTCAGGACTGGTGACACAAAAACATCTCACTCAAAGCAGCACTACTCACAGAAGCCAAAATGGAAACAACGCAAACATCTACCAGTTGATGAATAGAGAGACAAAATGCAACATCCCCCTACAATGGTACACCATTCTCAGTAAAAATTAATGAATCACCCATACCTGCTACAATTCAGATGAACCTTGAAAAATATTATGCTGAGTGAAGGAAGCCAGTCACACAAGATCATTCATTGCATGATTCTATTTGTATGAAATGTCCAGGAAGAGGCAAATCTATAGAGACAGAAAGCAGATCCATGGTTGCCAAACTACCTCCAGGCTGGGGGGAATGGAAGTGATTGGTGAAAATATGGAGTTTCTTTTAAGGCTGATGAAAATGTTCTCAATTCAATTATGGTGATCATTGTACAAGCCTGTGAAAATAGTAGAAATCATTGAATGGTACATTTTAAATGGTTGAATTGTGTGGTATGTGAATTATAGCTCAATAAAGCTGTCACAAAAAAAGGCAATCCACAAAAGCATAAATCAGCCACATATATAAAGTAGGGACTTTGAGGACCAGCATAGGATTCAGGAGACAGAAGGGAAGATTTTGTTTAGATACTGAAGGTAGGTTCCCTGCCTCTAGGTTAGTGACCAGAGCAGAGTCTCCAAAGAACTGAAGTCACTTTAAAGATTAGCATTTGAGTCTTACTGTTGACATGAAAATATCTGAGTTTAGTGCTGAGGCAGCAAGAACAATTTAAGTGGAAAGCCACAGATGGTGGGAAAACCCATCAGTAAGCCACATCATGAATAATAAAGTTGATCTGATTGTTCATTTTTATGCCCTGTGCCTCAAGGCCAAAATTGTTCATAGTCAGTGCTCAGTAAATGGTGACTATTTGTCATTGTGATAAACACAGCTCTGACGATTAAAGCCAGTCCGAATGGGAATAGACTGCCTAGAGAGGCAACAAGCTCCTGTCCCTAGAAGTCTGGAGAACAATGGAACCAGCTGTCCTCTGGGTTCACTTTAGGAGGATTCCTAGCTCAGGCAGGGGTTTAGACTAGAACTTCCCAATCCTCCCGACTCTGAGAGCCTTGATCCATGTTCTGCTGTCACAGAACTTACGCTTTGATTGGACAATCACAAATGTTCTCCAAACCAAACTTTTTATTTTGACAGAGATGTAGTTAGAAATTATTAGAATGGGGAGAAAGGTAGGAAGGTAAGCCTCCTAATGGAGGAAAGAAGACAAGCCTACAGTCTAGAGATAATGAGGTCTCCAGCCTGCTATCCCTTCTTTATACCCTCGTCTCCACTGATACCAAACTGGAAGCAGCCGTCTACTGGACAGTCAAGCATAGCTCAGTCATTGGCGTCCTTCCTCTTAATCCTGTTCTCTGGAGCATGCACACTAAAATCTCCCAGGCTGTCCCTGTATTTCTTTTTAATACAAGAACTCTTTTTTTTATGATTTTATTAATTTATTTTTGAATGCACTGGGTCTTCATTGCTATGTAGACTTTTCTCAAGTTATGGCAAGCAGGGGCTACTCTCTAGTTGCGGTGTGCGGGCTTCTCATTGCAGTAGTTTCTCTGGTTGCAGAGCACAGGCTCTAGGAGTCGCGGGCTTCAGTAGTTGTGGCATATGGACTCAGTAGTTGCAGTTCTCTGCTTCTCGAGTGCAGGCTCAACAACTGTGGCACACGGGCTTAGTTGATCCAAGGCATGTAGGACCTTCCTGGATCAGGGATTGAACCCATGTCTCTTGCATTGGCAGATGGATTCTTTACCACTGAGAGACCAGGGAAGCCCACCTGCACATTTTAAAAGCTTTCTTGCAGCAGCCAGAGTTGAGCTCTTGGCCTTGGCTCTGCTCTCACATGAAGACCTCCAGAAACACACCTTTCTCCTCTCCCAAGAGGATATAGGCTACAGCCCAAGTCCAG